TATTATTGCGGCACGTATGGCTGAGGTGGCACATGCGGAGCCCGCCTGGTTTGTCTAGGAGCCAGACTGGTGGGAGGTACTGCCTGTCTGGCTCTCATAGTTTGATTGTGAATGCCTCATGGAGGTATTGTGCAGACTGTCTTGAAAATCGGAAGTAGAGGCCGACTCTGACAGTCGGTCACTCTTCTTTTGCTCTAGCAATAATCGAGCATCAGAGTACATTTTCTTTAACCCATCCTCTTGAACATGACGAATGGGCTTTCTCTTCCCTGGTAGGGAAAGTGGTACTTCGTTAGATGGATCACAGGTGGCTCCCACTTCCTAGACTTAGGATAAGGAGTCGCCTCCCGACCCTGTACAGGCTTCTTCCTCCCAAACTGAGAGGGTCTTCTAGCCGACTGCTCCTTGGACGGAGCAGGCGTCTTCTTATTGATGAGGTCCTGAATCTCCCCTTTGAAGCTATTCATGAAAGTCATGAGTTCACTTCTAGTAATGGGAGCAGATTCCTCGGCCGCCTGTTGGTGATCAAGCAGCTGGCTGGCAGGTTTACTAGAGCCAGCCTGGCAATCCTTTCGTTCCTTCTTTTCAGAGGAACGAGTTCGTCGAGCTCGTAAGGTCCCGTCTGGGGTTGTATGAGTCTCAACCTCGACCTCATTATCAGTATCCTGGTCACTATAGACCTGAGGGTCGTCCATAGGACGCTTCTCGCTTTGATTCGGTACAGATTGTGATTCCATCTCGAAAGTACTCTCCCCACAGACGGCGCCAAAATGTTTCGAGGTTTTCTGATGTCCTGCAGGAGAGTTACAATTCCGGGACTGGTATCCTTGCGCCTGTACCTGCAAAACAACGGAGACTCCTTGTGGTGGGAGTTCCGCCTCCGACGATCAAGTTAGTACTTGTTTGAGGAGTGAATAGTGCGGAAAAGTAAAGGTTGGGAGATCTGGTTCCTCAAGGTGAGGAGTGATCAGTGTGTTTTTGGCTTCTCTATGTGAGAGTAATTAGTTGCTTAACCCCCCTTAATGAGGATTAATTAGTGTATTTATAGCCTTGGGAAGCGTGCCTAATTTTAGGGTTTTTGGTAAACCCTAGGATTGACTAGGCTTCTCCCGGAAAGCGGGCCTAGGTGGCCTCCTTCCAAGCTGGAAATCAAGAGGCCACATAGCGTGGCTTGACTGGTCCATGATGGACAAATGGCTGCGTGACACGTGGCAGGCCCTGAGAGGTCCAAATGGAAGACACTTGGCAGGACCTGAGTGGTCCACGTGGCGAACACTAATTGGGCGGGGAAAATCCCCTAATCAAATTGTATCCCAAGAAATCATAGGTAAAACCGTCTTTACTGGGGACTCCTTCGAAAAAAAGTTTCTATTAAAACTATCAAGAGACGAGGTAACTGATAAAGGTAGACGAGCAATGGTCATAGCATAAGAAGGAATAGCCTCAAGGTGGCTCTTGATAAGAATAACTTTACCAGTTTTGGAGACTAAGTTGGAAGACCAGAAGTTCATTTTTTTATTTGCTTTAGTAAGGATATGCTGGAAATTATCCTTATTGAATTTAGTAGTATTAAAATACACACCCAGGTAGCGGCCAAGAAAAGATTTAGGGGTCATATTAAAATAGCTTGCCAAATTAGATTTATTCCGGTTAGTAACGTATTTAGAAAAGACGACAAAAGACTTATGAATATTAATAAGCTGTCAGAGAGCGAAGCAAAATCAGCAACTGTTGTATGCAAAGCATTACAAGAAGTAGGAGTGGCTTTACAAAATAGAAGATTATCATCTGCAAAAATTAAACAAGGGATAAGCGGAGCAGAAGGCGCAATTTTAACACCAATACCAAGAGGCTTATTTTTACTAAGCAGAAGCAATTTTTTCGAAAGTACTTCCATACAAATTACAAAAAGAGCCGGGGATAGGGGGTCGCCTTGCCTTAACCCTCGTGAGGGCTTAATCAGGTTAGTAGTATCATAATTGACTGCAGGAGAATAAGAGACTGTGGTAACACAGGAATTAATCTAATTAATCCACTTGTGATAGAAATCGACGGATTCAAAGGTAGTCAACAAGAAGTCCCACTCGATACGGTCATAAGCTTTCTCCATATCCAATTTAAGTGCTAATCAACCGACCTTGTTTGCTTTTAGACTTATTAAAGAGATTTAAGATCTCATGAACAAGCAAGATATTATATTAAATAGAATGGTCGGGAGCAAACACATTTTGGTAAGGACCAATAATCTTCTTAAGAAAGGGTTTTAGTCGAGCAACTCAAAATTGCCTTATACAGAGTGGAACATAGACTATGGGTCTGTATTGCCTAGCTTTAGTTGGATTATCAATTTTTGGAATTAAGGTAATAATCGTATGATTAAGTTCTCGTAACAGTATACAATTAAAAAAGAAACCCTTAATAGCTTTACATATATCTTTCCCAATAATAGTCCAATAATGTTGAAAAAATCTAGGGCCATAACCATCTGAGCCAGGGGCTTTATAGGGGGACATATCAAAAAATGCATTTTAATTTCAGCATCTGTAAAGGGCCGAGTTAAATCAAGATTATCAGCAGGAGTAATAACTGGTTCAATCCAGAGGAGGGAAAGAGAACGTTCATGGGGATGATTCGACTTAAAGCGCATGAAGAATTCCTTATAGAAAAGATTTGTTATTTATGATGGAGTATCAACCTATTGATTAACATCATTTTGGAGTCTGAAAATTTGTTTTTTACTTGATCGAATTTCATAGACTCATGAAAAAAATCTAGAGCTACGATCTCCTTTAGTTATCCATAATTTTCGAGCATACTTTCCCCAAAATTTTGACTGAAGAGAATTAGCTTTTCGCGTTGACGAATAAGACGTGTGAGGTGTTGACGAATATGAAAATTATCAGGGTATAGAAGTAACTATGCCTCTCCTGAGAGCAATTATTTAGTCTGATTAAGTTTTAATTTATTCTAAACATTCCCATATTTAGCATGATTCCAATGTTTTTATTCAGATTAGCATGTTTCAGCTTTTGCAGAATACAGTAAAAGCGAGAACCAGTGAAACGAAGTTTTCAAGTCTTAGCAATAATATGTTAAGCTTCTATATCAGAAGTCCATGCATTTTGAAATCTAAAAGAAGATAATTTTGGGGTCGAATTATTATCTGTAGCCAAAATAATAGGAGCATGGTCAGAAATGGAAAAAAGTTCATATAAAATAGTGGCAGAAGGGTATAAGGAGTCCCACTGAGGACTTACAAAGGACCTATCAAGGCGTTCATACACGTACTATATGGGAAGTAGCTACACGTTTCCAAGAGAATGGGTTACCTAAAGGGCTAACGTTTAGAGCTTGAGAAAACTGAGCAAATCTTTGTAGACGAAAACAACGGACAACAGTAGGGGGTTTCCCACCACTTTTATCCGCAAGTAAAAATAAATCATCAAAATCGATCACCAATAATGCACCAAGGTAGAGCAGAATTAGTACAATGGTCAAAAAGGTTAGTCCAAAAGAGACTCTTTGAGAAGTTTGAGCCGGGGCATAGATAGCAAATAACATAAAAACGTGATCCATAGACAAGTCATGGATGAGAAGAGAAGCAAGTCGTTGTTTTAATTGAATAAATGCTACATTTATCTTAGCAGAATTTTGACAGATCCACATACCCCCACAGTGACCTTCAGGATTAATAATATGAACCGAATCATAACCCAAAGTTTTGAATCTATTACTATTAGAAGGAGAAACCATAGTCTATATAGCTATAAAAATATCCGGGTTACATTTTTTCTTAAGAAATATCATTTCCCCAATTGCCTGCGAACGTTTGGCCCCTCTAACATTCCAACTAATGATCTTCATAAAAAAAATAACTAAGAGAAAATGCATCATAAAACAGTGCCAGAGTACGTACTATAGTCAATAAGTCAATAAGATAGGGGATAGTACACTTAAGTCTAGTAACCAGAACTTTTAACCAGGGCTTAATGCGACCAATTTCGCAAGTCCCAAAAGGAACACATATCTATATAACAAAGACAAGTAATAATCTCAAGGTATAGGAAAATAAAAGGGTCGAAATGCCTAGAAGAGAACATGATGCACCTATAATAGGCCAAGTTACAATCTTGCTGAAAAATAATAGACCAAAAGGAGAATAAAATTTAACATAAAGTACAATGACAGAAAAAATTGAAGTATGCCAAGCAGTAGAAGGCCATAGCACCAGAGAAGCAAAGTTGACATTCTTATGAATGGAACCACCTGAATATCTGTAATAAAAAAAATCAAGAGATTAGTAAAGTAAAGACAAAGAGAATGTATAATCAAAGACCAAATCAAGATAGGGGAGGAAAGAAAAAGGGAATAGACCAAGAGTATAAAAAAGAGTAGTGGCAGAACATAAATAGACTAGAAACAAAGGAAGAGAAAATAGGGGAAAGGGAAGGAAAAACAAAAGTGCTCAGAATAAAGCTACTGGAGATGCATAAAAACGTAATAAGGTCCCAAAATAGAAAGCAAAGCAATTTAACCTTTCTTTATGAAGGAAAAAGGGAGCAACTTAACCCAAAACTAAAGAACAAAAAGGAGGAAATATGATACAAGCTACAAGGGGGCACCTTTTGCAACCAAATGAGATACAAAGTATGAACAAGGCTAGTCACTACAACTAGAGCTGAAGCAAAGGACAGGGAGCATCTAGACTTGTTTAGAGAGAGGAAGCATATGTAAACATGGATGCAAACCCAGTCACAAAAAACTAAAGGAAACCAAGGCTGCACTACAACCTGTCCTAGAAGGGAAAGGGAGCATAAACCTAAAAAATTACATGGTTCAAAGGGAGAAAAGGAGCCCCTTCAGAAAGTATCCAGTAGTATTCATCATTGCATAAACAATAAAAAGGCAACACAAAAAGTAAAAGAAGGAACCAGTAGCAACCAACGAATCAAAACCAAAGCACAGAAAACTAGGACAGAAGCCACATAACAAAGAATTTTGGCAAAGGGGAGTAAAAGAAACCAGAAGTGGCTTAGATGGTTAACACCATACAATTTCCAACCCTGTAAAAGGGAAATAATCGTAAACAGAGTAAACCAAGGATAGAAGTAACACTCTGTCCAGTAGTGTAAGGGCAAAGGATAAGTAATAAGCCATAAATAAAGGTAGCACACATGGAAGTCATGGAAGCGAAAAAATAGCAAAGAAGGTATCAAAGAATCAAAAATCCAATTAAAGAAGCAGAAATAAGAGAAAACTGACATATATATCATTAAGTAGAATAGTAGCATCATAAAACTTATAGGTAATACATGAGGAAGTAACAGTGACGAATACAGGGAGGGTTCAAGTGGGTTCATAATACCCACTGATTTTTTGAAAAAAAAAATTAAAAGTTTTTTTATAAAAATAAAAAAAATAAAAAAAAAATAATTAAAAAAGGGTTAAATAGATTATTTCATAACGCATATCAACATGTTAGTGTGCAGCCCAATGGCAATTTTTGGTGCGCGTCCTTCCATTCCCTTTCAAGGAAGTCAGGGGTTCGAACCCTCTCTATCCCTTTGTTTTTTTGTCAGTCCTCATATTTTGAATTTTCCCCAAATTCTCAAACCCTAACTTCACCTTTCTCTCTCTAACTCAATTGCTTCCCGCCGCGGCACCGCTCTACCCCACCAGCCACCGCCCACGACTGCTACTCCGCCTCCTTGGCTCGTCGCTGCTGTACGGCCCCATCCCCACGGACCACGTACGCACCACGGTACTTTAATTTGCTACTCTACTTCAATACTTAATTCACTTAATCAGATTTATGTATTTGGTATTCAATTGATAATTGTTGTTTTGCTAATTAGAAATGTTATACAAGTGATAGAGTAATTGGTTTATTGATTGTAAATTTGTAGAGTTAGATACTTAGATTCTTGGTTGTTGGGGTTTATAATTGATGGTTGTTGTTAAATTAATTTGATGTCTTGATTGCCATTTTATTTGTGTGTAGTTAATTTATCGTATGATTGTTGCTTGATTTCAGTTTGCAAATGAGTTTAGAGTCTTTTCGGAAACGTGTGAAAATTGGTTTACTTGCTTATACGACTAGCATTGATCCTTTTAGTGGCAACTGCAACCGTGGAACGAGTGTTTTCATCAATGACTTATGTAAAAAAATAAGTTACGGAATAGTATGGGCGATCAACTTTTGAATGATAGTTTAGCCACTTTTTTTTTTAGAGAGACTTATTTGCTAGAGTTAGTGATGATGATGTATGTATTGATACACTTCCAAAGTATGAAAACTCGAAAAATTCTTTTGTAGGTTTTTTTTTTTCTAAGTGTAATTTATTTGTAATCCGAAATAATTATGTATTGAATCTTTAATTAATGTATTTCCATTCCTTTTTTTTCGATTTCGAACCCACTGTTCGGAAATCCTGGATATGCCACTGGGAAGTAAGACAAGGGACCGAAAGAGAAAGGAAAAAACACCCTGTCTACCTTCTAAGGTAAAGCTATGTACAAAGAAAACTGTACAATAATATAAAGGACTAGAACATAAGATAATAACTATAATAAGGGGTCGTTTGGTAGGGGGTATTCAACAAAGGGAATGGGAATCAACGGGAATCATTCCCTTTGTTGTTGTTTGTTAGACCACTTTTCCATTCCCCTTTACCCCCTTCATTCCCCCAAATCCCTCTATGTTCATTCCCCACCCCCCTAGCCTTTTCCATTCCCTTTCCTTAGCCAACATTACACCACCATGCCTACACCAGCCACCACCCTTCTACCCTACCCCCACCGCACAACCACCACCCTTCTACCCTACCCCCACCGAACAACAACCACCCAGCCACCTCACCGCTTTTCCCCCAACCATCGCCGTCCCTTCTCCGCCACTCATCGACCTCCAGTAAGCTCGCACCTCACTCGAAAATCTTCCCCAACCCCTCATCAGAACTCACTGCCCTTGTTTGCACCTCCCTCACCCCTTGTCGAAGGTTGTCGCACCTCCCTCATCCCTCGAAAATCATTCCCTCACCCACGAAATCCCCCAGCCGCCCAATACCCCACCATTAAAAACCCTAATCGACCCTTCCCCACCTTCGAAACCGGTTGGTTTTTAGAACCATGGCCTTCGTCCTGAAGCACCGCCTGTGATTTTCGTCGCTGAAATCGATTGATTTCGTCCTGATTTTCGCTGGTGGTTTGGGTCGTGGGCTTGGGTTCGATCTGGCGGAAGAGAGGGAGGTTGAAGTTGCGTGGAAGGAGGAGAAAGAGAGGAGGATTGTGGTTGCGGTGGCCGGTGGGAGGAGAGTGCTCGGTCAGAGGAGGGAGAGGAAAGGTCGTGGGCGGTGTTGTGCGAGGGGTTGTGCGGCTACCGGCGAGGGGCTGAGGATGTTTTTAAGGTGGAAAGTGAATTAATTGGTGGTTGTGTGGTGGTGGTGTGGTGGTGGGATTGTTTCCCTTTGTTTTTAAAACAAACAACATAAAGAATATAAGGCATTTTCATTCCATTCTTTTCCATTTCCTTTGTTCATTCCATTCCGTTTACCCCATGCAAACCAAACGACCCCTAAGTACAAAAGCTATAGTAGAAAACTGTCCAGTGAGATGAATGGAAACATTCCAGAAGAATACAATCATTTCTTAGGCAACCTGGAAGAGGCTGAGTCTTCAACTTCTCATGTCCTCCTTCTCTTGCCAGAGAGGAAGTTGATAGGGTATCCACCCTCATAGCATCAAAGAACTGCTTTTCATCATCTGAAAACAGGGCAGTATGCTGGAGCATGTTTGTGCCATACTCAAAGACAAGATGAGTAGTAACACCTTCATCAGATCCATCATTTTCCAGCATTTGGTCCATAAGGGTGGGGGAGCTAGTATCCTCAATCAAAAGAGGGGAAGCACCACTAACATTAGGGGTATGGGAAGCACCCCAACAGCTTCTAGAATGGAATCATGAACAAGAAGCATTAAAAGTATTGGTTATCCATAGGAATTGAGGAGGTGGAAGGCACATGAACAACTAGAGGACCAGAAGGGAAGGTAGGAACTTCAGGGGAGCTAGGCCTTTGAGGCTGAATAATAGAGGTACCAGGTTTAAGCTTGGAGGGGCCTGAGAGTTTGGTTTTCCTAGGAAAATATCTCTTCCTAGGAACAACCTTTACCCACTTAGAAGGGGTGGGGGAAAAGGAAGAACTAGGGGCAGACACATCAGATTGTGGAGAAGAGATAGTAATATTATTCAACCTCTCAATAAGAACATGCATGGTTGACTAAGCAATCTTAGGACACGTATCTAAAGAATGGAAATCCACATTGGGGGCAAACCTCAGCCATCCCCTCATAGTTGAAATGAATTTCTTTTATGCCATCCGAGAGGTTTAGAAAAAACAGACCCATGGATAGGTTTAGTGACAGAAACATTAACACGAGCCTTTGCAAATCTTAGTTTTTTCTTGGTTTCACTTAAATGGTCTAGCTTAACCAAAGTGCCCACATGTGAGAGGATAGAAGCAAGACACTTCAAAGACCAATACTGGTATGGAAGAAGATAAATTTTAACCCACTAGTCAATAGAGGTAATAACAGTATTGGTAGCAGAAAAGTTTTCATTCCATTCAAGTAAAACAAAGCTTAACCCTTGAACAAACCAAGGCCTCCCAACCCAAGCATTGACCTTATCCTCTAAATTAGAGAAGGTAAGTAACAACCACCCATTCCCTATAGGTTGAAAGTCAACATCCCCTTTAAGAAAAGCCTAAGAGCTCCTAAGTTTACCCTCAATGACATGTTGGATGCTTGGTGAAGTTGATAACAATGAATGCACTTCTAGGTAATTTTCGTTTTTTTTTTCTTTTACAAGTATGTATTTTTTAATCCTAGTTGGGCATTGATTTATTCTTTTACCAGGTTAGTCCCGTGCGATGCACGGTTTTAATATAAAAAAATTTACTTGTAAGTGTGTAATATAAATATTTTAAGCAAAACATAGCAAATCGTGATCTCTCTCGTTAGATTAAGGAGGCGTTTGGTTCGCGGAATATAGGTATGAAGTATGGTTTTAAAATGAGTAAAATTTATACCATATATTTGGTTGTCAAAAGTATGATTTTAAACTCATACCTCAAACTCGTGAGGTATGGGGTTTAGAAACCTTGGGGGGAGGTGGGTTAGCCCATTCTATTCACTTAGGCATCAAATACATGGAATTAAGGGGGATGATATTTCATTTCAGAATTGAACCAAACACATTGTATTAAGTATCAAGTTCCAACCCAATACCACCTTAACCCCATTCCTGATTCCAAACTCATACCACTCTGCGAACCAAACGCCCCCTAATTGAGTTAAAATGAAGGACAGACATGATGTGAAATATTCTTATTAACTTCATAGCTATCATAAATTTTAGCAATGTTAGTGTTCATCTTTTATTCATTATAGAAAATTTGAAGAATTAATAAAGAGTGAAAAATTCAAACTCTACAATCACTAATAAAATGTAGGAGATTAATTTTATTTTTTTTTACAATCACTAATAAAATGTAAGAAAAAAAAAAATCTATGTAGGAGGAAAAAAAGAATGTGAAAGAGACCAATCGCCAATTATTTTTACTCAATAGAAATAGAAATTTTGTATTTAGTCAAAATTTAATTATAAAAGCTTATAGAAAAATGTATAATTAATTAATCATTTTCAAATATTAGCTTTACCTTGAAAAGGTTAAAAAAAATGATGTCAAGAATAGTTTTGAAGGGAAAATATATTATAAGAAGTTGACACGTGGATAGTGTTGATATCAGCGGTGATTACTTTAGTATTAGTTATAGATAGATGGTTATTAATTGATACAAAAATAAATGAAATTGCGAATAACATGAGCATAACTTGAGTCAAGATTGCACATTTGCTTTTAACAATTAAGTCGTCTACTTGACAAATGAGCAAAGATTAACTCTGTGCTCATTTGTTAATTGAAGAAAGAATTAATGTCCATTTGATGAATTATTCAAAATCAAGATGAGTCATGAAATTAAGTATATTGAGCAACATTGTTAGTAAACCTTTTGATTGAACTAAACATCATCTTATTTTGAATTTGCTAAAATAAACATAAATGCATAGTAATATAGATTAATTGAAACATAAAAATTGTAAATAATTTAGAAAATAGGTCCAATGTGAATGTCTATCACTAACCAATTGATTTATTGAATACTATGTTCAAATACATACAAAAGCTTGTGAACTTATATGTCTACATATGCAAAATTATTGTGATACAGTCTTGCTAAAGACTATATGTAAAGCTGGGCACGGGTCGGGCTGGCACGCGGGCCGCCTGGCACGGCACGCTTCTCGGCACGGCCCGGGGTGGTGGCCCGACACGGCACGGTGGTTCGCCGGCGTGCCGTGGGCCGTGCCACAGACAAGGGCTGAACTTTTCGGCACGGCACGACACGAGCCCGCCCCTTGGCCCGCCGTGCCAGCCTGCCGGCTATTTATATATATTTATATATAAATATATAAATTATATATTAATATATTTATATATATTTAATAAATATAATATAAGTTATAAGTTATAAATATAATAATTTATAAATTATAAGTTATAAAATTATAAAATTATAACTTATAAGTTATAATTATAATTTTATAAATTATATACATTATAATATAAGTTATAATTTTATAACTTATTAAAAAAAAAAAAAAAAAAAAAAAAAAAAAAAAAAAAAAAAAATTGGAAATTGCCAAGCCCGCACGAAGGCCGGCACGACATGAGCTCGCCAGGCACGAGGGCCGTGGGCTGGCCTGTGAAATTGGTCGGCACGGCACGACACGACAATCTGGGCACGCCGGTGACCGTGGCCCGCAAGGCACGGCCCGCGGCGGCCCGACATGGCACGATGTCCAGGTTTAACTATATGTATGTTGCTGTGTAAATGTAAATTCACAGTTTGTCAATATATTCATTACTACTCTAGTTAAATTTTTCATATTTCTTAACACGTTATCTGCACAAGTTTCTAGTCAAGTGTATTTATACCTACTTCTCAAAACAAATATCATCGTAACTCAAAAAGCATCGGTGATGAATTCATTTGCTTATGAAATCATTACTATTTTTCCTAACTTTTATTCTTGTTGTTAAATTCATATTGGTATCATATATGCATTTATTATGTAAATTTCAATTTTACTTACAATACAGATATGATTGAAGAAAAAAGATGCATACTTTATATTATTATAATTGAAGAAACGACGAGGGAAAGGCCGATTTCCGAGTGTGGGAAAGAGAAGGGCCTATTTCGTGGATGGAGAAGGGAGGAGGGTGTAAGGGAGAAAGAGAGGGGTGCGATCGAGCATCGGCGTAGTTTTATTTAAGTATTTTTAAAAAAATTAGTTTTATCTTCAAAAAAAAAAATTGTTTTAAAATAGTTATTTAAGTGTTAATTAGTAATTAATAATCTTTTCTTAAAAAAATTTAAAATTATAACTTTTTTATCAATCACGTGGTAACACGTGTAAATTTAAACTTAAAAGAAAATACCTATTCAACAGATAACAATCACTTAGGACCATTGGAAGTAATTCACATTAAAGTTCGAATCACCCAAAGTTGGGATTATTTTGGACAGATGTGGCAAAATTAGGATTATTCTGGGTAATTTTTCCAATTTAATAACGATCCGCGGGTTTTCTTAGAAAGCCGAAATTAATATTGCTAAGATCAGCTAATAGTTCAAGTGGAGCTTAATTGATCAGAGTTTAACAAGTTTAACAAAAACACAACAGTTAGTGACAGACAAAAACACAAAGGAAGGAACCAGAATGATTGGAGTTTGCTCAAGTGCTCAGAAGACATAATAATATGTGACAGAGATTGGGAGAGGGGATGCAGTTAGCAGTTTTTAATGCTTAGACTATGAAAACAATTTTATAAACAAAAATGAAGATGAATGCTGTTATCTTCCTACGCAGTTACTAATCCGAGTCAGAGCCAGATTCAGAGTAATATTCATCTTCATCGTAATCTTCTTCATCATCATCGTCAAAATCTGAGTCATCATACATAATATTCCTTTCATTCCAAAGTGGACATGAACATGTAGCCTTCTTGTTCTTCCACTCGGCTCCACATGTATAGCAAAATTCAAACCCACATCTGCATACAATATGAACATGTTATAATTTTTTTTTAACAACTTAAGGGTGTTCATTGTAGGGAAACTAAAATTGAGAATGAGAAATTTATATCACAAAACCAGATTATGTCAAGGTTATGGGTTACAGAGAAGAATAACACTCAAAACACTTTAAAACCTATGGTGTTATCATAGCAAAAAGGAAGAGGATGGCAAAGGGAGGGCATTACTCAGAGATATATCAATGATTTTGTTATCAGACTCTGAATTACTAATTCGTTCCAATTACTACTTTCAAATCCCCAAACTCCCATTTCCATTCACACGCCGCTCTTTCAAAAGCAAAATATGTAACAAAATTCAGTTTCTACTTCATTAGATCGCAAAATGGTCTAAAGAACCAGAGAGCAGGGGTCTGGGGTTTGAAATCTGAGTAGATGACGGCTTCTCAAGGTTTTCAGCCCAACAGCCACAAGTGTTATAAAAGAAAGGGTAATAGAGAGGGTAACCAAATAATAATGAATGTGATAGTATCAATGTAAAGTTGTAAACTTTCCAGCGAATAGTACTCTATCACATTCGCCATATGGGAATCTAAGCCAAAGCTACCTAGGAAAGCTTATAGGTCTTATCATATTTTCCATCCACTGTACCAACACTACAAGCAAATGGACATGACGTCAACAAGCTGATATGAATCTTGAATTCCCACAATGATCAAGATCGCACTCACTGTGAACATCAAGGTCATGAGATTTCAACTAGGTGCATCCATAACAACTGTAAGGGTCTGTAACATTCAACAAACTATTAAACTCAGATGGATTCTTTTTCTAAACTATTCTATCTATAACATTTCTTCTATGAGCAGCCCTGCATTTCTTTAACAGTTACTCAGCAAGCCATCTTCTACTTCTCACCCCTTGGCTTTTGGAATACTACTTTGGCTTTCTTATACTCTTTAACCTAATATACCTTAGGCAACTCCTTCACTACAAGTCATCTTAGCATCTCCCATTTGCACCTCCAGTCCTCCACAACCTCAACCTAACACTCTAACAGACACATATCCCACACCAAAACCCAGTGCGTACAACATAAGGTTGATACTGGCAATTCAAGTTCTGAAATGATTCAGAGTCAGCTAGAAAAATCATCTAAAGGAGCCGTCCACAAACAAAAAAACTAACAAAAAAAAAAATCTGGATTTCATTCCCAGTTACTTAGCACTTATATTTTAAATATTCAGAGTGAGTATACATGTGACAAGATGTTAACAGTTCCTCAGGATTTCATTTTCCATTCTCCTGACACTTGTGACTGCTCATTAGACTATTTTGACAAACTCATCCTATCAGCCAGATTAAATCAACTTTGTATGCTTCCATACAGCCATGCTAAATACATTTTTAATATAAAATATATAAGTGCGAAGTAAACTTACCTGCATGTCATGTGGTAGCAACCTTGAGCAAGTTCAATCATATGTTTGCATTTCACACATTGGCGCCACAAATTTTTAGTTGCAAGTGACTTAAGCTTTGCATCTTCAGGCTGCAGATTTGGATTTGATCTCTTATACTCTAAACAGGACATATTATTATGCCATGGCACTCTACAATAGATGCAAAAGAGCTCATGACATTTTAAGCATTTTCTGGCTCCAGATATTCTTCTATTAACATTTTCTTTCCTTGCAAAGTCGTTAATCTCAGCTCTTGACATCAATACTGAGCACCTAGGGTAAGGGCAATATACCTTTTCAGCAACAGGTATCGATGCTTCTCTAACTCGTTGTTTCATAATTTCAATTAGCTTAGGCGTCAAGAACTTTTCACAGCTACTAACATTTAGCTCATACTTGCAACTTTCATGAGGGCATTTTGGTACCATCCCATTATGTAACTTTGCTTCCACATGCTGCTTCATACAAGAGAAACAATATTTATGCAGACAACTATCAATAGTGAACATTTTATCCTGATCTGTCTCTTCCAAGCAGATCACACAAGTCTCCTTCAAAATCTTGAGACGGTTAGGCTCGGTAGGTTTGGAGATCTGAGAAGTGATAGCATCTCTAGCAAGCTTGAATGCAAACTTTATAACATTTCGGGAAACAAGGCAAAGACGATAGTAGGTAAATTCCTTTCGAAGAAATTCTACTTTTGCCATTAAATTAACTACCTTCCTCTGTTTTGGTTGCCATGCATGCATAGCCTGCATTCAATAAAAAAAGAATTATATTTCATGCATGACTATTGTTACAACAGATCCAAGCAAGATTAAATAAATCAGCAACAAGACCACAGGTTTTACATGGTTCACTAACGATGAATAAGCTACATCCACAAAAAGGCAATCGAGAGGAGAGTAATTACAGATTACAAAATAGTGGCTAGGTTAAACCCTAAGGGAGTTTATACAGTACTCCCAAAACATGAAACGGAATAGGCCAGAAATAAGCCCGAAAACAGAAAACTGTAGCCCACATAACAAATACCATAACCCCAAGCAACCCCTGTGATATTCATTTGAAGGGGGCTAACTGTACAAGGCATATTTTTAACAACCAATCATAAATTGATCACCCACCGTGGGAAAAATAAAATCAAGGAATGTACTTCCTTTATTTCTTTTCACTAGAAACAATTCTCATTTCACATTTGCCATTGCATTATTTTCAATCACTAATATCTTTAGTTATCATTAACTAAAAATATAAATTAAAGTGAATCTACAAGATCCCACATGATTATATTTTTCCATTTAAATATAAATCACCAATGACACCAAAGCTAGTCAGAGTATTTGAATAATGCATAGGTCAAAGTATGTGAAGCTTTTTTCGGGTTGCTAGTATGACTGTATGAGAAAACTTAATACTTGTCTTATTATGAAACTTTTCGACCCCACGTGTAATTTATGTCTTACAACCAAGGAGATAAGAAAAGTGATGTTTCTTTGGAAATAGGGATACATTGAATTGCCCCGTCAACTCTTTTAAGGTCAACTAAAATTTCATTGGAAGTAAGAAGGCAAAGAGGTATAAAATTTAATAGCAAATTGTGTTATATCTATTATGTTGGTGCTCTAACTAAAGAGGAATAATAAAATTTTCCATCATTGAAAGTCCTCCCTGGTTACTTTTTGGTAACAAGTGGTGTATTTAGCTTTGTTTGAGCTCACTCATAGCCATTACGCTAAAATTCCTAGTGTACTTTCTGATGTACTACAAAATTGGGAATTTTTTATTTTTTTTATATATAACTATTTGGCCTTGTTTCTGCTGATCTCCTAGACCCCTACTTTGTATCATTTCGTCTGAGGTTAAATAAAATGTGTTTTTTCTTATATATACAGTTAGGAAAAAAAAAAAAAAAAACAGTTAAAAGAAAACACAGTAGAACAAGGTAGTAACTTAAATGAACTTGAGGATATAAACACATTTTAAATGTAGCCAACCGCACTTTTAAGTATCACCAATAAAATATTGCCAGTTGCATCTTAAGACTCTAATCACTCTACTACACTATAAAGAGTGCTCAATTCCTAAATACGAATAGAACACTAAAATGATTATAGAAGTATTCAACTAGGATTCCGACTGACTGAAAACTAATCTGAAATACAGTATTAAAATCTTCTAAATATAATTTCCTTGAAACTTCATTGGAACCCCAATACTACTACTCCATATGAGATAAGAAAAATCCTTAAATAAAGCTTTTTGCACACCGGGAATAAACAGGATTCTTCATCCAAATCAAAGTAGTCAAAACTCAAAAGCTCAAAATCTGTTTAAGGTCTTCTGGTCCCAAAATAAAACTCAACTTTATTCAATTTAGGAAGCTTTCAGGTGGCCAAGAAACAATATCATACCCAAGTTTGGTGCTTTGAAATCTAAGCTTTATCACCAACCGCAGTAGCAAGTAACAGTTTGAGGTTTCCTTCACAAGTACACTACAATACTCCATAGCATGACACGGCATTAAATAATTTAAGTGGATGGGATTATGGGAATTGACAGTTTGAGGTTTCCTTCTTGTAGGTTTAGCTCTGCCTTGTCTACAACTATGGAGAAAATTTGTTACTTTAAGAGTACCTGGCCCCATGCCCCATCCCCAAAAGTTCAAGGATAAAAGAAAATTTTGGGTGGAAAAATATTTAAGTTCAAACAGCACTAATGACTAATACAAGTGTGGCAAACAAAATAGTCTTTTAGCTATCTGGTCAAAGAAGATTTAAACACATAATATTTATAGCTGATTGATATTTGATCTGTGGCAACCGAGATAAAAGGATCATCAGCTCATTGCAAGGTGGTATATACATGGACTCCCTATCTAAATTTTGCTAAGATTTGCATATTACATATGCAATTTAGCTAGCCAAGCATTAGAAGAATGGTCCACTGCATGCAGCGTTCTGAAATATATGCTCAAGTGACATCTTATTTTTTTTTTTTTTTTTGAAGAACTCAAGAGTACTCTCATAGAACTCAAAATTAGAGTATACAAAATGATTAGATAGTTTATCCATATTAAAATAATTGCATCATTTTACATAATAATACTTGCTTTTATACATTACTAGTGGACAAATATGTTCAAAGTAAAACAAGTGAATGGCATCAACGGTTATTATTGGCAGAGGGACTAAGACTTTTTTTAACAACAATATGCTTCCTCTATCTAAAATATATAGCTAGCTACGCAGTCTCAACATCTCAAAAACAAGGAATTTATCATGACATACCCATAATAACTTCACAATGGTAGGGTCATCCCTATCCTCTCTCCAATTCTATCGCTCAACTCAAGCTGACATATACCAAAAATATAGTCATTATCTACTCCTAAATCCAGAAAGTGATCATATTAGCCTCCCAATATAGTTTTCCTAACTAATATTTCCTGGTGGAGGGGTGTTATAAAGGCTAAGGCTCATCCATCACATGAAAAGCAAAAAGGCCCTTAAGATATCCATGCCATAAAAGATCCTATCTGACTCACTCACACTATAGTCTGAATAGCCATATATAATTGCACAAAAAATACATTTCACGCGATTTTAATACATATACAATCAATCAAGTCAAGGACAAGGGAGTTTCTACTCACATAACGGTAAACAGGAAGGTTGTCACAAAAGATAATGATGCGCTTCAAATCCAGTGCACGAGCAGTTTCAAGACCTTCAATTAAAGCCTTGATCTGAGTTATTCGACGACTCTTTCCATTCCCCACCAAAGGCTTGCTCAACTCAAAAATCAAGTTTTCCCTTGGATCACAAATTGCAACTCCAATGCCAGCTAGTGTAGCCTCAGTATTTCCTACTTGTTCTACCTCCACTAAGCCCTTAAAATACAACCTGAGGTTTCACCAAAATAAGACATTAAAATCACAACATACTATCCGCGGGTAGGTGTGACACCTAAGATCCAATTACACAAACGATCAATACTAAATTGCTAACTTAAGCACAATTACATCTACAATACCATCCATAAAACTAGGAAAAATCATATTAAATGACAATGCATTTAAGCATTCAAATTCAAATGCCGGATATCCAACTTCAAACACAACTAAAACCTTCAAAATATGTCATTCGGGCACAATAAACCGAACCAAGAAATACGAAAAAATCACTCAATAGACTTACAAATTCAACCTTATATCACCATTGCACTTTCATTAATACAATAACATTACAAATCACAACTCTACATAAAAAATTTAATCAAAAGGTAACATTTAAACAATATAAACTAGTCATTTAAACAATAAAATAGCTAGCCTAACCCGTTGTTCTCTTCACCTGATTTTTACTCGTTCGCCGTTCTATTTGTTCAACAGAGTTACAAATATTTAATTATTATAACTGATTTTTATTGAATAATACTCGGAAACTGATTCTTATTATTTTATAAATTAATACTAATTCAATGTATTTATTCAACAGAGTTACCCACGTTTATCAATTAAAACTTATTTTTACTGAGTAAAACTCGAAAGCTTATTAAAACACAACTTTAAATAAAATTACCTGAAAATCGGAGAGGCGACAGAAGAAGACGAGGAACCTTCATCGAAAGGCCTTTCGAACTCATCACCAAATTCATCCCAATGATCTTCAGGCAAACGAGTAATCTCAAGAGCAAGTTTCTGGTCGTGAATTCGACGATTAAGATCATCTCGTAATTTCTTAGCCTCAATTTCACAGAATTCATGGTCTCGGTGTTCTTGTTCAAGTTTTTCGAGTTCTTCACTCTGAATATCTGCGAACTTGAGTTCGTCGCCATTGTTGTTGGATGAAGAAGCTTCTGGAAGAGGAAGAGGAGAAGAAGAGGAGGTAGAAGGGAGGAGAGAGAGAGAAGCGGTTAAGGCTTCCTCTAATTGGAGATTGAAGGCGAAATCTAAGTCGGATTCTAGGGTTTTTGCGTTGGTTAATTCCAGTCTTTGTTCTGTTATGGCTGTTATTTCATCGTCGGTGTTGGAAGTGGCTGACATGGTTGTTGGTTGATCGAGACAGAGAATTCTCTGGAATGTCAGGAGGTCTACTACAAATTTGACTTATAATACAATTATACGAGTAGTTATTATACGAAAACTAGGTGTACCGTGTATCCGTGCTTAGTATACGATTTATACGAACTCCTTCTGTCTAAGTTTATAGTTCTTATTTATGTTTTTTCATGATATTTAAGAAATGGGAGGAAAAAGTACATTAAAAAAAGTGAAAAGTATAATTATAGACAAAAGTTAAAGAGAAATTGAAAAAAGGTACAAGGCAAGTGAAAAATTCAAGAGTAATTTAGGAAGTTCATTGAATAAAGTTAAAAAATGAGGGTATAATGGTTTTTACATATTATCCAAAAATAAAAATAAGGAAAATTGTCCGTAATAATCCGACCTTTGCCTCATCTGCCCAAAATAATCTCACTTTTTGATTATTTTTTTAATAATCCGACCTTTATAGCCAATCCGCTCAAAATGGTCCCATGTCACTTGTAACCGGCTGAGTAGGTTTTTTTTAATTAAGTTTAATTTACACGTTTCATCACGTGATTGGTCAAAAAATAAGTTTTAATTTATTTTTTTTAGAAATGATTATTACTAATTAACATTAATTAATTATTTTAAAACTAATTTTTTTAAAAAATGATAAAAAATTTAAACAACCACCACCAGCCACCTCCCCGCCGCCACTATCGGCCCAGACTAGACCCTTTGCCGCACCCAGACCCATATTCCCCGCGCCGAGCGCTACTCCTCCCCCTACTCCCGTCTGTCGCCTCTAAACCACCACACTCATTCCCGTAACAATGGTGGTGATGGTGATGGTGGGCTGAAATTGATGGTGATGGCCGAAATTGAGGCGTTGGAAGGGGAGGGGGCCGAAAATGGGACGGGGGAAGGGAAGGGGGGTCGAAATCGGGGCGAGGGCAAGGGGAGAAGGCTGGAAATGGGACGAGTGAAGGGGATTGGGGTCGAAATCGGGGGCGAGGGAAAAGGGAGGGGGCCGGAAAGGGAATGGCGGAAGAGGAAGGGTAGCTGGCGCACCAGCCTCCCAGCGGTGGCGGTAGGGGGGCTGGGTTTCTTTTTTTATTTTTTATTTATTTATTTTTTGCAGTTTTAATTTCTTTTCAAAGGTTTTTTTATTTTAATTATTTTAATTTAACTTTTTTTTCAAAATTGACCAATCACAAGCCGCCACGTGTCAGGTAACTTGGTATAACAAGTTACATGATTGGTTGGGACCATTTTGAGCAGATTGGATATAATGGTCGGATTATCAAAAAATAATCGAAAGGTGAGATTATTTTAGGCGGATGAGGCAAAGGTCAGAATATTTTGGGCAATTTTTCCTAAAAATAATATCAACATTTTGGATCTCCAAAATAGGAAAATAAGAACTATAATGTGAGACAGAAGGAGTATGTATATTTAAAAAGAAAATAATAATACTCCTTCCGTCACATTATTAATAATTTTCAGTTTTTCTAATTAAGTGTCTCAAAATTAAGTGTTTATTTTTATTTTTAATTGTTTTATGTACTACCTCCGTTCCTAAAAGTTCGACTCACTTACTATTCATGTGGTCAAAATAAAATAACTTTAACCACATTTTATGATTTATACAATCAAAATAAATTAACAAATTTGTTCTTATTAGATTCCCCTAATGATAAATTTTTCAAATATCAACTTTCTAAAAATTTTACTTATATATAGCCGAAGTTATTAATGGTCATAGATATTCATTGGAGACCGTGCAAATGCAATGTGAGTCAAACTTTCAGGAATAGAGGGAGTATTAACATACTACTACTAAACTTACCTTCATAATAAGAGTATCATAAAAAGGTTTTTATTATAATATTAAATAAAAAAATAAATTTTAAATTAGACAAAAAGAATATAATTTTTTAATTTTATAATGTCACAAAATATTCGGATGTACAATTCGGAACGGTTTTAAAAATAATATACGTAGTAATTCCTTTTTGACTTCTTGTGTTCTCAGTGTACCAAGAGCAAAATTTAACCTTTTTCCTCTATAAGTTGTTATCAATAAACTAGCTAAAGTCTCGTGTAATGTATGGGTTTTACTAAACTATATAGCCAACTATAATATTAATATAGCAATTAATACTTAAAGAGAATCACATTTATAAACTAAACAAAATATATTGATTTTTTTTTTAATTTACCTATATAGACATCATTTTTTTTCACTTTTGATAAATGATGTTAGGGTTAGTGGTGTGTTAGACTTTATAAATATGAAAGAAATTTAGGGACTATTGATTTTTCATCAAAACCCATGCTAATATTAGCATGAAATACTATAGAAATTTTGGATAATAATAGTATCCTATTACTTTTTTTTTTTTTTTTTACAGTATTTATGCTCATTTTAATAACAAAAGTTACTTAATATAAAATATATACAAATAAAAATATTCCATTTGAGTGTGTATATAAAAAACATATTTAATCGTCAAAATGAAAGGAGAATATTATAGGTTATATAGAGCTGATCGAAGTCAGCCCGACCCGATTTAGGGTGGGTTTTTTTTTTGCCCGAAAATAGGCCGGGTCGGCCCAGTCCATTTTTTTTATTTTTTTGGGCAGGTTTGGAAATGCGAATCCCCCCACTTTGGGCGGGTTTGGGCACTTAATTTCCGGCCTAAAGTTTGGCCCGACCCGACCCGAGAAGTGGGATGAATTTTTTGGCTCATCTCTAAGGCTATAGATACTTTTCATGAAGTATATATTGACAATAAAAAAAAAAAGATAAAGTGGAGGGAAAATTTTCAACCAGTGGATGACATGTGTTATCACTAATTTTGCTTTTAGTATTAAGTTATTGATTCCCATTAGCATGCACACCAATTCACTTTTGCCCCAAATTATGCAAATAACCACTATTTTGCTTTACAAGAGGTTGAGAATCAATTAAATTAGGGTATTAGTATTATTACTCTACAAGAATTGAGATATTTTTGAATCGAATATGTCATGTTATATTATTTGGGAGTCTGTGTCGTTATTTGAGATATTATTTACTAGCCTGTGTATGGTTAATTGATCAAAGTATGAGGTCAAAAAGATAAAAAAAATAAAAAAAAAAAATTTGTTCTTGGTTTGAGGCTTAGCGTTATAAAACTTAGCTCTTGGCATGTTGATAAGGAGATGAAATCAACAATTAAGAATGAGGTACAATCTTTATTTTTATATGGTCTCCTAAGTGAAATTTGGCCCATATGTTGGTCATGGTTCAAAATGTTTTTCTGGTTATCGAGAGTATTTAAGTTCTTATACTTGTTGATTTATTTATTCAAATTACTTATGTCCTAAGGCTAGGTACAGAACACAGAGCATGCACACTTACTAGTTTGATAATAAATCGGGTAAAGGATTGTGTTATTATATTTGAGGTTTTATTTTATTAAGGTTATATTTGGAGTATCGTGTTGAATTTACCCTTGTGGTATATATGTGTAATGTAATTTTGAACAACATTGTTTAAATGAGCTGCATATATTAATTATTTAATTATTTAATTATTTGATCATTTATTTTCATAAGGGGTGATTACTTAGCTTTTTGTTGACGTGTGTGTTTTTTTGGTGTGCTACTTGAGGTTACGACCATGTCTTTTTCTTATGGTGGCCTTGTGAAAATCTATTTTGAAATTTGTCCTTAATAATGAGCAGTCAAGATTATTGTCTAAGCAGGTTGATCAAATGATCGTAATTAGAGGAGTTCAAATGTTTCAATTAGTATGCTATAACAAATTTCTAATATTGTAGAAATAGCTCACTTAGATTATTGCGTTGCAATAGTATGGGATTTATAAGACTTAGCACTTGACAGATTGTCGAGTGTGACGATAATACCTCCGATTTAGGTTTATTCTTCTGCAGTTTTATGCAAAGGCTGTTTATTTTCCTTTAATTATTATTTATTATTAGTTAGTAAATCAGAGATACTGTTACAAAACATAGAGTCCTTTTGGGTAGGACTTTTGTCCTACACCGAAGATTCTTGCAACATAGGCCTAGAGAGTAAAATATTTACTAGTGGGCTCATGTTGACCTGGTGTAATACCCCGTAATTTTACACATTTTATAATTCTTCCTCTGTTTTTTTAGTTGACACCTTTCGGTTATCACACTTGCCAACGCATGTTTTTAACGATTAATATCTCAATTATCAACATTGTAAAATTATAAAAAGTGGATATTAATAAAATATACATCGAGACGATTCAAACAAGATCCCACGTGACTATGTTTATCGTATCTATAAATTACAAAAGTGAGTCAAAGTGTAATGTTTGAATAGTGTAAAAGTCAAACAGTGTCAACTAAAAAAACGGAGTATGTATTTTCAAAATTTAAAGATTAATTTAATATTTATAATATGTATTTTTGGAATTCAAAGAATTAATTATTTTGGAAATGGGGCAAACATAATTTGTTTAAAAAGAGTTTTTTTACAATTTAACTAGGAATTTTACTACAAGTTAAATAACTTGTACCAGCTTTCCTATTTTACTTCAAATTCCCCTAACTCCATTAAGGGTAATTTGGACTAATCCTATTGTAAAAGAGTTCCGAATTCCCTATAAATACCCGCCTTATATGTGCAATTTTTAGTTGGCCAACGGTGATTTTTCAATATTCTTTCTCTCTTTTTTTTCATTCTCTTTCTTTTTCCTTATTTCCCTATTGTCACAGTGGCCAACAGCCACCCCCCACATCGACCACCACGGGGTCCCGCAATAGTATAATAAGATAAGACTAATAAATTTAGATAAGTTTAAGGTTAGTAAAAAAGATAAAATAATGTAAACGATATTCAAAGGAAGAAAACATTACCTACTTATAAGTGACAAAGGAAGAAAAGGCTTATCAAACTAAAGGTATTCCATAACATTTTTTTTGTAGGTAAATAAATAGAAAGGCTCTATAGGGCTGATGAAACCACCTATACGTCAATCCGATCAGGTTAGCAGCTTTGGGAGTGGGAGAAAAGGGAGAGGCAAGTGAATGTTAATAATTATGAGGTTGTGAGATACAATAAAAGATCTGCTCTTACGAGAAAATACAAGTTAATCAGTCTGATATACCAAGTTATATTAGGGGGTATAATAGTCATTTT